CCCCCCCCCCCCCCCCCCGGTCTAACCTGGTATAGATGGATATCCTATTCTCCACTAATCTATCCTGATCTTCCTCTTTCACTGCTTCAACAATATCCTCCTCATCTTCTTCATCTTCTTCATCTTCAGATTTATCCTCAAGTTTCGTTACTTTTGCCCTTCTCTCAATCCTATCAATCTTCTCTATCTTCTTCTCCTTCTCCTCCATCTTCTCTTCATCTTCCCCGGAATCTTCTTCCTTTTCATCATATTTTACCGGCATTCTCTAAAGAATAAAAATATTTAAAATAAACCTCAAGGAAAATAAAGTCTTAAGTAATATGAAAACTCTAGACTCCTTCCCCCCTCCAAGTGTGAAGTATACAAATACACATTACTCACTCTTTCAGGTTGGGTTTGGTATTAATTTATAGATATTCACTAAGGTTGTAGTTTTGTAAAATAAGAATGGGTGGTGTTCCAGGCGTTATTTCCTAAGATTCTACTTAAGCAAAGGAACTGAGTTATTGCCACAAAAGCAAATATTCTAATGCCTATATCTTTGCAACCTGATGTTGTGAACCTTCAACATTTCAAACCTAGATAATTTGATATAACGGAATTCACAGTTTGAAAGAGAGATTATAAAAATTTCCTCATTTCTGAATGGTTCCTCAAGCTTTAGGATAAAAATCTAACAATATACTTCACAAAACTATGTACAAAAGCGACTCCCCAAAAGACATCTGAAATCAGTTATTTTGTGTTATTTTGTAAAATAAATCTGAAGGTAAAAAATAAAAACCTGGATGTTATTGACCCAGCTTTCAGTTTCAGAGATGTTGAACATTTTGGCCTTTTCCTTGAGGTTCTCTTTGGCCTTTTCCTTGAGGTTATCTTTGGCCTCATCCTTACAGTTCTCTTTGGCCCCATCTTTTGTATGTTTGAGGTCAACAGAGTCATCCTTAGTATTAAAATACTGCAGTTTAACCCAGAACTTCGAAGACATCGAAAAAATTTTAAAAATGTCGTCTTTTTAACCTACTGATAATGGAATGCGGCAGATATTTAGTTTTTCAATTGAATAATTATATGGAGCTTTTTAAAGTTGTTCCCGCGTATTTTATATTTTTACAATTACTGTGATTTAGGTATAACAGTATGAAATCTATTGAAAAATTGTCAAGACGACATTTTAAAAATGCTTTCTATTTACTCCTAAGTTCTGGGTTTAAGTGTATCAAAATTAAAGGTCTGCAGTCGTAATTTAAAGTGAGCCTCCATATATAGAGTGGCATATTCACACTTCACAGTAATACCGAGACTGAAGTCTAAACAAAAGATTGAAGTATGCCACTTTTATCTTAAAATTGATTATTTTCAAGTGAGATTACTCTATCTTTATAATAAAACAAGACATTCCTATATGTTTCCTATAACCGCCCAAACGGTTGGACCGAATAGTCTGAAATTGAATAGGCTTAAAAAATTTTAAATTTTTTTTTTTATTATTCCACGGGCAACGCCGGGCACTTTTGCTAGTATTTGATAATCTTGCAGTGTGAGAAAGAGAGAACTTGTCACAGTCTTTCCCTCTTTCAAAGAGGGAAAGACATCTTTCTTATCTTTACTGATTAAAGATTTGGTTGACGCTGTGAATCTTACATGCCACTCTGTTGTAGGTAGAGGGAATATTTATCTAAATTACTTGAACAGCCCTTTAAGAATCTTTATTTCTCCGCAGGGTTTATTTGTAATTAGGGGGCTTCTGGTATATCTTCAGAAGGAAGATTTTTCATCATAACTAATCAAATCTTTTGATGTTTAAGCTTAAAAGAAAAAATAAGATTTTATTCTTTAAAAAATGGACGGATTTTACACAGGCATTTAATAGAGCAATAAACTGACCTTTTCGCTGGCATCACTGGTAGCACCGGTCAACTTCTTTAGAATCAGATCAACAGGAGACTGGGACGATCTATTTTTAATGATCGATCGTTCGACAAGATCGGTCGGACGGGGACTGGAGTTGGAAAGGCAAGGGCTTAATGTGACCGGTTCCTGGGCTCGGGAGAAGTGAAGTGTGGCTTGGGGTTTGGATTGTTGAGGGGTGGTGATAAGTTTAGGTTTTGCAAGAATGGGTTTAGGTTTTGATTTCTCAACCTGGTCCAATCAATCAATCAATTCATTAGTTACTAAAAATATCCTCCTTTCTTTAGTAGTGGATGTGAAAGTTGAAGGATTATTATTTATTAATCTTAAAAGTTAACCAATTTGTGGTTATTAAGTCGTTTTCGACTTCTATATAGATGAAAAAACAAGTTCCCTAAATTCAAAAGTGCGACAAACCCCAAAGATGTCGAAAACAACGCTAGCATAAAGGGTTATGTAGAAAAAAAGGAAGTTATAATGTTTTTTTAACGCAGAAAAAAATAGTCAATTTTATTCGTGGTATAAAAGTGAAGCAATTTCGAAAATTTAATAAATTTTTCCCAGCATATCTTTTTAATTTATTATAGAAAATACAATCACGTGTTAATCAATAAATTAATCAGTCAATAAATCATTGAATTAATTAGTTTCCTTGGGCATATTACAGTATATATTATGATGCTGAAGAATAACAGAATTCTTAAACTGTTTTCCACAAAACTTACAATTTGCCTAGATAGAAACGAGCAAGTAATAAATCAATCATCCAATCAATCAATCAGTCAGTCAGTCAGTCAGTCAATTAATCGATCAGTTATTCAATCAACTAAAAAGAAACAAATATAACAATGATTCAATCAAACAAATATAATAATCAAATATTATACAAACACATATGCCTAACAAAATAGAAGCAAATCAACCATTGAATCAATCCACATTTCAATTAATCTAACCTACCTTAGAACCTTTATTAGAGAGCAGGTTTTCTCTAAAAAGATCCGCCTGAGATACTTCAGTGAACCCTGGCACATAAAATATCAAGGTTTCGAAATGTTAAAAATTTCCAAAAATCATTTTCAATAAAAGGTTTAAGTGAACAAAGAACTAAAGGAACTTTCGTCCTAAATTTGAGTGAGGAAATGCCAAATAAAAAATGGCCTCCTTTAAACTTAATCTAACTAAAAATGTGACAGAATACCCTCGGTTCTTATGCTTGAAAAGTGTTTAATTCTGAAAAATTGCCAAATTGAGTGAGGTAAGGAAGGGAATGATGACTGAGGAATGTGTAAGGAAAATGGAAAAGAGAAGGAGAGAAAAAGAAGAGAATGAATACCTGAAGTAGAGAACTTGGAATGAAAAGAATGTTGTTTATCATGTTTATCAGGTACTTGACCTCCGTCTGAACAAGATATCATTTCAAAAACCGGTTTTTATTCAATAAAATATAAATATAAAATAAATACCTAGTTTAGACGGATTTTCTCTCACTTTTTCTTCTTCTTCTTCTTCCTCTTCGTCTTCGGCATCATCGTCGTCGTTTTCTTCTTCTTCTTCCTCGGAGGAAGATTTGTACTTTGGCACAGTCTTTCTACTCTTCCGAACCGGTTTCTCATCCTCGCTCTCACTTCCGGTATCATCCACGTGGTGTGAAACCGGCTTTCGCGCCATTTTTCTAGATTTATCCGTTTCTGTGGACTTATTCACCGGATTGTTTGAAGTTTTTTTGTCTTTGTTGTCCTTTTCATGTTTACTGCGGGATTTGTCTGAATTTCCGGTCGAGTTCAATGGACTTTTCGGGACAGCCTCTCCAATACATCTAGATATAGGGGACATTTAACTGTGACAATACTTCTGGGGTATTTTCATCAAATTATTTGCACTTTTTTCTGGAACATTAATTTACTTGAGCAGAAATTATAATTTTTCCACATACTTTTATGAAAAAAGAAAAATTAAATGTAAAATATATTGTATAGAAGACATTATTCAATAGAAAAGCTAAATGCATTTTTGTAGGATTAAAATCAAAAGGGATAAAATACATTTTTCTTTTTCCTGTAATTCTGAATTAAAATTAATTTTCCAATTAACAATTGAAATGGAGATAGGACTGTGCAAATCTCTTATTTTTATGTGATGATAAATATCTAAATAAAATATAACATTGACTAAATTATAATAATAATAATAACAGGGGCGGATACAGGATTCAAGTGAGGTGGGGGCAGGATTTTTTAGGAACAAAAAATTCATAATTAGGAACAAAAAATCGCACTGAAGGCGAAAATTTTTTTTGACTTAAAAGACTCAAAAAGAGTCAAAATTAATGACTAAAGACTAAAAAACTAGATTTTTAACTTTTCAAATACAGGATTTAAGTGAGGGGGGGGGGCAAGATTTTTTAGGAACAAAATATTCATAATTAGAAACAAAAAATCGCGCCGCATGCGAAATTTTTTTTTGACTTAAAAAGACTCAAATAGAGTCAAAATTAATGAATAAAGACTAAAAAACTAGATTTTTAACTTTTCGCCCATTATAGTTTATTAAGACATATATTTTTCCGGTTTTGCACTAGGGGTTCTTTCCCTTAATGATGCTATTGAGAAGCTATTCTGAAAAAAGACTCAAAAAGAGTCAAAATTAATGACTAAAGACTAAAAAACTAGATTTTTAACTTTTCACACATTTTAAGTTTATTAAGACATATATTTTTCCTGTTTTGCACTAGGGTTTCTTTCCCTTAAGCATGCTATAGAGAAGCTATTCTGAAAATAGGAACAAAAAATTCCAAATTCAGGGGCCCCTCCCTAAATCTTTCAGGGGGTGGCGAATGTCCCCCCGCCCCCCCTATATCAGCCCATGAATAATAATAATAATAATACCTGGCTATGTGATAAGCATGAACAAATTGATTGTTTAACACCCGTCCACACTTTTCACAGGGAATCTTTAAAATATATATATTAAAGGGACTGTTACCGTTATTTCAAGTCATTTTCAATTAAAGGGACTGTCACCGTTATTTCAAGCAAATTTCAATTAAAGGGACTGTTACCGTTATTTCAAGTCAATTCCTATTAAAGGGACTGTTACCGTTATTTCAAGTCAATTCCTATTAAAGGGATTGTTACCGTTATTTCAAGTCAATTTCAATGAAAGGGACTGTCACCGTTATTTCAAGCTAATTTCAATTAAAGGGACTGTTACCGTTATTTCAAGTCAATTCCAATTAAAAGGACTGTTACCGTTATTTCAAGTCAATTTCAATTAAAGGGACTCTCAACGTTATTTCAATTTAATTCCAATTAAAGGGACTGTCACCGTTATTTCAAGTTAATTCCAATTAAAGGGACTTTCACCATTATTTCAAGTGAATTCCAATTAAAGGAACAGTCACCGTTTTTTCAAATCAATTCCTATTAAAGGGACTGTCACCATTATTTCAAGTTAATTCCTATTAAAGGGACTGTAACCGTTATTTCAAGCTAATTTCAATTGAAGGGACTTACACCATTATTTCAAGTTAATTCCTATTAAAGGGACTGTCACCTTTATTTCAAGTTAATTCCTATTAAAGGGACTGTCACCGTTATTTCAAGTCAATTACAATTAAAGGGACTGTCACCGTTATTTCAAGTTAATTCCAATTAAAGGGACTGTCACCGTTATTTCAAGTTAATTCCAATTAAAGGGACTGTCACCGTTATTTCAAGTCAATTCCAATTAAAGGGACTGTCACCATTATTTCAAGTCACCCCAATTAAAGGGACTGTCACCGTTATTTCAAGTCACCCCAATTAAAGGGACTGTCACCGTTATTTCAAGTTAATTCCAATTAAAGGGACTGTCGCCGTTATTTCAAGTCAATTCCAATTAAAGGGACTGTCACCATTATTTCAAGTCACCCCAATTAAAGGGACTGTCACCGTTATTTCAAGTCAGCCCAATTAAAGGGACTGTCACCGTTATTTCAAGTCACCCCAATTAAAGGGACTGTCACCGTTATTTCAAGTCACCCCAATTAAAGGGACTTTAAACGCTATTTCAAGTGATCCCCAATTAAAAATAAGGAGTTTGACACATTCGGTGTTTTGTCATTCAGGACTTTTGTTTGTTTGGTGTCATGTTTTTACATGTTTTGTACACACTCCATTTAAATTCATTTAAATACCTTAGAATTTGGACTCTTGGATACATCATCTCCAGTTACAACTGCTGGAGACAAGTTCTAAGCAAATCAATTAATCAATAATTTATCGTTTTAATAAAATGAAAAATACATCTTGCTCAATAGGGAAAAAAAAGATGGCACTGAGCCTGAAACTGAATGAGTATCGTCATGAAACCTAGTAACCGAACACCAGTTTCATGAATAGGATTGGAAGTTGTGAATGTGCCAATTTTTTTATTTTGAAGAAATACTTTTTCATTTGGTTTCTTAATCTTCTTATTTTCTAGTTTCTTAAATCAAAATCTACATACATAAATAAACATAAAACGGCTGAACCGAAACCTCAAAAGACTCCAGGGAAGGTTTATGTATGATCAAAATTTTAAACAAAATTCGACTATTATAAAAATTATAAAATTCCACAACTTTTTTTTTAAATACGCGAACTTTTTTTGTTTTTGTTTTACACTATATACAAAGAGAAAATGTTAACAATTAAAATAGAAGGTGGGCGCGAAGCGCTCTAAAAATTAGTTGATAGCAGATGCAATTTATCATACCTTATTGATGACTTTCTTCACTGTATTCGATCTGAACAGGAGAAAAATATTTTAACTTTGGAATCTTTTAAAAAAACTTTAAATAACGTCAATCAATTAAGCACAGTGATTATCAATAAGTCTGTTAAAAAAATCAAGCATTACAATCAATCAATGAAGTAGGAACGTCATTATCAGCTTTATCAACCAAATCAACCTTTTCAAACACTCAATCAAGCACATTCAATCAACCAATCAATCAAATCATCGATTAATTAATCAACCAAACAACCAATCAATCAATCATTTAATCATTTAATTAATCATTTGATTATTTGATCATCTGATAATTTAATCATCTAATTATTTAATCAATTAATTATTTAATCAATTAAGTAATTAATCAGTTAATCAATTTTATCAAACACAACTGATCAGTCAATCAACACACCAACCAACTAATAGATCAATCAATCAGCCGACAAATCAATCGATCAAACAACTAATCGATAAATCAGCCAACCAATCGATCTATCAACCAACTAATCGATAAGTCAACCAACAAATCGATCAGCCAATCAATTCACCTAGTGGAGTTTATCTCGTCCTCTGAGCTCGAATCTTCACTGTCCTGATGCGCACGATTCTTGGCCGTTACGACAACGCGCGCAAAAGGTGGAGGCCGCACTGTTTTCTTGTCAGTCTGCTTGCAACAAAAACAAGGGTTACGGGACTGTAAGCTTAACTTTCTACAAGACCGTCCATGCAAAGATGTCCATTCCCGATTCACAACGGTAACCTTTATACATTTATCTAATCGAGAATATAGAAGATATTACTGTTTCTCTTTTGCGCAAGTCACTTTCTAAATATCCCACAAGTGAAATATTCAGTTGTTTTTTTAATAATTAACACTGATATCTAATTCGTCCTTGATCAAACAAAGCTTTTAAGGATATCGCTGTGAATTGGCAATTGCTATCTTTGCATGTAGGGTCACTTGAAATTGATGTAAAAATATAAGTAAGTGTAGATGGACGTTTTTTAAACATCGGCCCTTTTCTAGCTACAGGGAGGGGGCGGGATTGCAACCTTAATTTAATAAGTTGCTTTCATTACAAAAAGCTTCTAATTTTTTACTTCTAATTTTTTAATAGCTGCTACCTTAATTACAGGCGTTTTTTCTTTCTCATCCTCTGAGCTTGATTCGTCTCTCCGAGCTCTTTTTACGGGAACCTTAGGAGCATCTTTCGTCCGCTTAGACGGACTATTTCTTCCCTTAGGAGGACTTGGATCGTCCTCACTATCGGACGAGTCGTCAACAAATTCTCTAGACTTTGGTGTGGTTCGTCCTAACCTGTAAAATCATCATTATGCAAAAGTTTTGAAAGTCAATGATTTAAACGTTGGAAAATTGAAACAACTTCTCTTGTTTTTCGACGCAATTTCCCTTTTTACATTTTTCAAAAGCATTTAACATAATCAAGATTTCTATTATATTTATCAAACAATAGACTTAGTGAATCTTTAACCAATAACATCTTGATAGGTAGGAATATAGGTGACCAAAAAACTGGACAAAAGAAGGGAACAAGTTGGGTGTGCGATGAAAAAAGTAAATATATCCGCCCCCCCCCCAAAAAAAAGAACAGTAAAAAATTCGTTTGTTCATCAAGTATTAGTTTTTAATCTTTTTTTCAATATTTTTCCAAATATTTAAACCATTTCAAGCCATAACGATCAAAAACAAATGTTAAGAAAGAATAAGTGAGTAAAAAATGGGAAAATCGAGGGAATAGCTAGAGAAAAGGGTGTGATCAAAAGCAAGTATGAAGTTCCCCCTCCCCCCCAAAAAAAGAAAACGTATAAAAACCTATAATAATCCCACCTGTATACGGATTAGCAATTATAATCCAACCTGTCTGCGGATTTGCTATTATAATCCTACCTGTCTACGGATTTGCTATTATAATCCAACCTGTCTACGGATTTGCTATTATAATCCCACCTGTCTACGGATTTGCTATTATAATCCCACCTGTCTACGGATTTGCTATTATAATCCAACCTGTCTACGGATTTGCTATTATAATCCAACCTGTCTACGGATTTGCTATTGCTGGATTTAGGTTTGACCACCATTGAGCTGGCATGGAAGGATATCTACAATTTTATTGTTACAACATGTAGATTGTAGATTGTAGAAGGTTAAAGGTTAAATAAGAGGGTTTATTTAAAATTACATTTTTAGTTAGTTAGCCGGGTAACCCACAAAAAAAGGAGCCGGGTAAATTACACAAAAATTAGAGCCGGGTAAATTACACAAAAACTGGAGCCGGGTAAATTACACAAAAAACTGGAGCCGGGTAAATTTCAATAAAAAACAGGAGCCGAGTAAACCACAAAAAATGGAGCCGGGTAAATTACACAAAAAACTGGAGCCGGGTAAATTACAATAAAAACTGGAGCCGGGTAAATTACACAAAAACTGGAGCCGGGTAAATTATAAAAAATAAATGGAGCCGGGTAGATTACACAAAAAACTGGAGCCGGGTCCGATCCAGATGCAGCGTTTCGGATCCGAATCCGGTCGGATCCGTATCATTTGGTCGGATCCGGATCCGTATCAGGAAACGTTGATATGAAAAATATACACCCCTGTAACAAGAGAAGAATAAAGAAACACTGCCAGATAGTGAGCTTCGTGGTTATCTGATAAAATATCAAACAAAAAATAAGGTGTGCTATATTGCTTTTATAAATTTGAATTAAATTCTTCTGAAAAAAAAAATGTTGAAAGTGTTGTAAAACTAAATTCCTTGTGATATTCTAGAGTCATCGCGTCTGAGAACTTCTTCTTGCATTTGTCACAGGATACCTTCTGTTTCACCACCTAGGAGTGTAAACTCAGTGTACCGCAAGTATACAGTGTACTTCAAGTATACAGTGTACTGCAAGAGTACAGTGTACTGCCTGAAAGTGTACAGGGTACTGCCTGTAAGTGTACAAGTTACTGCCTTTAAGAGTACAGGGTACTGCCAGCAAGAGTACAGAGTACTACCTGTAAGAGTACAGGGTACTGCCTGTAAGAGTACAGAGTCCTGTCTGTAAGAGTACAGGGTACTGCCTGTAAGTGTACAGGGTACTGCCTGTAAGTGTACAGGGTACTGCCTTTTAGTGTAACAAGGTACTGCCTGTAAGTGTACAGGGTACTGCATGTAAGTGTACAGGGTACTGCCTGTAAGTGTACAGGGTACTGCCTGTAAGTGTACAGGGCACTGTCTGTAAGTGTAACAGGGTACTGCTTGTAAGTGTACGGAGTACTGCCTTTAAGAGTACAGGGTACTGCCTGCAAGAGTACAGAGTACTGCCTGTAAGAGTACAGGGTACTGCCTGTAAGTGTACAGGGTACTGCCTGTAAGTGTACAGGGTACTGCCTGTAAGTGTAACAGGGTACTGCCTGTAAGTGTACAGAGTACTGCCTAAAAGTGTACAGTGTAATACCTTCAAGTGAACACACCGTGCACAAAAAGGTATTTTTTTAAACAATGTAAAAGCATATTAAATCATTAAATTCTTATTACAGCCATTTTTCACAGAGATCATACAGTAATTAATTTGTACTACATTTGTTTTTATATGCGAACACTTTCCCTTAATGTTTTATTTTTAAAATCTTACTATTTTACATGAAATATATATCCCTGGGCCATGAAGTCGACTTTCATTAACCCAAGCTATAAACAACCTATAACCCCCCCCCCCNGAGGAAATACACTGGGACTTGACTAATTACCTTATGTTCAGGTGTAGAGGGTGCTATTGATGCTGTACTCTTATCTTGTTTGTGATTAGTCAAACTTTTCCCCGCATTTTCTTCAGAGTTTGGCGGATGTTTGTTGTTCTCAAGAGGTTTGGTTTTTGTTTTATCCACCGTTTTGACTTTCTCATAATGATTGCTTTTGTTGAGGGATTCAGCTATTTCAATGGGTTTAGCTTTCTCGGTTGGTTTAGGTTTCTCGGTGGGTTTAGCTTTCTCGGTTGGCTTAGCTTTCTCAATTGGTTTAGCTTTCTCGGTAGGTTTAGCTTTCTCAATAGGTTTAGCTTTCTCAATAGGTTTAGCTTTCTCAATAGGTTTAGCTTTCTCAATGGGTTTAGCTTTCTCGGTTGGTTTAGTTTTCTCAACAGGTTTGGCTTTCTCGAAAGAATTAGTTTTCTCGATAGGTTTAGCTTTCTCAATAGGTTTAGCTTTCTCAGTGCTGCTTGAAGGTTTAGAAGTAAGTTTCACATTATTTCTAATTTTCTCTCCAGGTTCAGATAGAGAACTGTCAAGCTCATCTTTCACACTCTCTGAAAAAGTACAGGGTTGGATTTGACACAGGGGGTGTATACTTTCTCGAAAAATCTCCCTTCCCCCTTTTTTACAAATCACGTGTCCTCAGAAGTTAGACAAGCTTGCGCGGAGCGGACAATTTTATTTTAGGTTATATTCGTTGAATTGGGGAACATTAATTAATTCTTAGGTGAAGAGTATTAAATGAAAATGAAAATGAAAACATTTCATTCCCCTCCCCCCCCCTCCTAAATCATCAAAAATATCCCCCCCGGGTAAGGTAATTTTGAAAAAATATACACCCCTGTAACAAGAGAAGAATAAAATCCGCAAAATTATGAGGATCCCCGGATTGGAATCAAAATAAAATGGATTTCTTAGCGCTCCTTTAAAGGTAGTGTTCACTAAAAATGAAATGCGGTTTAGACAGTAGCTCAATTACATTTGGTTTTGATCGCTTCTAACTTTTCGCGAACACTCCTTTTAAAGGTAGTCTTGAAACTTCGTTCCCATTCCCTTGTTTTATTTACCTCTTTCAGCATCAGTGTGGTACATTTCATGGTAGGAGAGCTGGGAGGAGTTTTTAAACTTCTTTTTACAAACAGTACAGGAGAACCCAGTCTATACAATATATACAAAACAGGGTGTCCCAATAAACATGAGAATTAAGTGACCACTTTTATATCGTCTTCGATCCATGCGGCATTTTTTCATGAACACAATTATTGCAGTATTCCACTTAAAACATCTAATTTCGAAAGCGCCAGGCCTTGAGATTTTCAAAATGTGGTCTTCCAACCAAACTATTGTTGTAAAGTGAAAATTGACGAAGATATTGCAAAACTTGTAAAAATTTCAATTTATTTATAAAATTAAAATTGACTTATGCAGATATCTAATATCTTTGTCAATTTTTAAGACACAAGAAATGAATATATAAAGACCACTTTATGAAAATCTCGTAAGACGTACAGCCTCGTTTTTATACTTTCTTTTCCATTCATAATATATCAATTCCCATGTTTATTGGGACACCCTGTACATGAGAACCAAGACTTATTCACACTATTTAAAAAATATATATTTTACAAACAATAGAAAAACTACTTTTAGTCTCAAGTTATGTTTTAGTCTAATCCAATAAACATTAAACACAGGAACTGTGGCCATTTGAATAAATGAATTGATTGTCGTGTTTTAAACTTTATATGTGCTAAATTCTGACAATTTTTTCTACTGTCTCTAAAGCAGAATCCGCAAGTCACTTTAAGGAGAAACCAGCATTGAAAATAACCATTTTTAAAAATAAAATATGACTGATATCTTGATGCATCCTCATGGGTATCTTGATGCATTCTCGGATGCATTCTTTGTACCGTTGTAAATCGGACATTACGATACGCTGTAAATTTAGACACTCTAAATTGATCGCTTAAACTAAAATGTCCGTAAGTTTTGAAGAGGTAATTTAAGAAAAGGTTTATTAAAAAAAGGTAATAGAGAAACAACAAATTTCAAAATTAATTATGGAGTTTAGAAACAAATTAATCGAAAAAAGATATTCTCTAAGCTCTGTAAATAAAAAATAAATAATCAAAAAAAAATATATATAAAACTCTTTATCAAAAAAGCTATTAGAGGGAGACACCCTCTCTTAGCTTTCATAAGAGAGTGGCGTCCAGGAAATTTGCAGGGCAAAATACTGCAGGGCAAAATAACTCGCAAAAAAATTTGTTGCATTTTTTTATCCCTCACCTTGGTATGAGTCAAATCATGTTCATCTAAAGCACTTCTACTTTTAAAACTCTAAAATAAAAACAGAATTTGGAAACTTTAAATCCGTTATTAATAATTAATTCGTAGGTTTCCTATTCTAAGCGTGTAATATCTTGAAAAATGCCAACTCTTTGGATTTCAAACGTATTTCGGATCGACATTGAAGTATATATAAATGCACAATTAAGAACAAAGCTAATCAGTGGTTAGGAAATAAAAATAATTTCTATAAAAAAGGAATTTCTCGTTAAAAAAAAAAATTACCTTACTACACAAATTGCAGTTGTAGCTCTTTAATTCCTCTAAATATTTTAACAGATTAGAGATTCTTTAGGATAAGATTTTTTAAAAGTTTGCTAAGAAATGGCGAAAATTAATAAACCATAAATTTCTGAACTTAAGAGTTAGCTTCTGTTTAGACAATTTCGGGGCCGGGCGCTGAGGCTAGGACAGACTAAGGGGCCGGTCTCCCTTGTTACTCTGGTAATTTCCTAGACAACGATTTTAGACCCCCCCCCCCACTCCTTTTAATTTTATACATTTTGTATAATTGATCATGTGGCCGCAGCGCCCGGCCCCCTAGCCTGTCCTAGCCGCGGCGCTCGGCCCTCTGGCCTGTCCTAGCCGCAGCGCTCGGCCCCCTAGCCTATCCTAGTCGCAGCGCTCGGCCCAGAAATTGTCTTAACCTACCCTAACCCTAAAATAATAATAATTTTGCTGTAAAATAAGTGGTAACATACAAAATTGATAGGAGGGGAGGAGGGGGGGGGGGTATAAATAAATTTCTTGTAAAAGTTTGTAACTTTAAAATTATTGTTTCATAAATCAAATAATATTTTGAAATCTAAAACAAACTTTAGAACTTTAAAAATTGGATAAGTTAGAAAAGCATAAACCATGAGGTATTAGAAGAGGTGGCGGGGATATCCATGAATTCCTACCTTCTGTGCTAGGTTGAGAATACCCTAATCCAACAGATTTCAATTCTCCTTTTGTTTTAAACTTCTTCATTTTAACATGGCAAACCCGGGGAGCGCTTGAGCGAAAATCTGGAGGAAAAAAACTTTTAAATTATTCAGAGAAACTTAATTTTACAAATTTAGCGCCTGGCTATACAAATTTAAAGTAATTAGTAAACAATTGGTTTGATTTCTTCGGCTTCGAAGCCAAGCGCACTGTTAATTTTTTGCCGCAACATATTTTAAATTCTACAGTTCCGGACCCGAGACTTTTCAAACAGTTGAGAACGCGACATTTATTTTTACAACATTTTGCAATAATTTTTGATCTTTTTAAGGGAATGCGTGTCTAAAATTGAAAAGTTCCACCTATAACACAGGAACGTGTATTGTGAGCAGGATTTTTTGTCATGGATGGATGGGGGGGGGGGGGTAATTAATACATTGTAAACAGGGGCTCGATACATTATTCTTTTATGTTGGAAATGGACTGTCTATTTTAAATATTTCAGTGCTTAATAACTTGTTTTTAGCTTACAGTAGGGGAAATGTAAACTGTACGGGGATCCTCCCCCTCTATATGCCCCTGTCCTTATAGGGTCACCCACAAACAAGTTAATAATGCAAGGAAAGTTATTTTAGAGGTGTATGCATTTTTTGTCTTTTGTACTGCAGTGTACTGTCTTTGGACGGTAATGTAAACACAAGACGGATGTCGAAGCCTGACATGGGATCCATCTTTCACATAAAAAATCAATGAAATATTCTGGTCATAGGAAACTTATGTGAATTATTAAAATTTTCAAAATTCAATTCCTTAATCCTCCTCGGATACTAAACGAACACTGATGCATCTATTCTTGTTTACAAATTCCGCCCAGAGAGAACTGATTTGAATATGTACGCAGAGTATACGCAACTGCAATTAAATTTCCTTGCATTATAACCTTGCCCACAACCACAAGGATGGACTCTACAACCATGACTATAAGCTCGATTTTTGGTTTCTGCATCCTGCAGTTCGAAGTATTATTTAATAACAATGAAATCGACAAAATGTTTTAAATTCAAATTATAATCAAATATATGTCATGAATTGATAAGGAAAACAAATTTATAATTTCAGAGGCCGAATTGAAAGAATTTGAGCGGCGGCTTAAATTAAAGCCGCGGCTCAAATATATAGTTAGTTTAACTTAAAATTGTATTCAATGTTTAAAGATTTAAATCTATAATTTCAGGTTTCTTAGGCGGTTTCTGCAGAGCTGAAAATCTTTGACCCCCCCCCCCCCATTGAATTATCATTAAAACTCTACCGTGTCAATTCTGTCTAAAATCGTATCTAACCATGATAGAGCTGGTTTATGATTAAGCCAAAAATAAGCCAGTTTTGGCCTTCAAGGAACCCTTAATACAAGAAAACGGACAAATATGGGTTGTAACATGAAGAAGTCAAAAATATGCCAGTTTTGGCCTTCAAGGAACCCTTAATGCAAGGAAACGGACTAATATGGGTTGTTACATGATTAAGTCAAAAATATGCCAGTTTTGGCCTTCAAGGAACCATTAATGCAAGGAAACGGACTAATATGGGTTGTTACATGATTAAGCCAAAAATATGCCAGTTTTGACCTACAACGAACCCTGAATACAAGAAAACGGACTAATCAATTTCTGGATATCGTCTTTGCAGTCTCACCCTTTGCAGGTAACCCTGTATATAGTTTTCCTTAAACATTTACAAATTCATAAAAACCTTAACAGTCAATTGAAGCCGATAAACTTGTGCTTTTATGACCAATTAAAACTGAACCCTACTCCACTACATGAGAATTCTTCTTTTTAAGAAAGTAAATTAGAAAGTAAATCAATCATGCTATCTTTGTATATTGATTTTTTTCCTGTGTGATTGTTCTGTAAAAATTACTTGTACACTTTTGGTTCAGAAACGAAAGAGAAAAAGCAAAAACTTCTTTTATCTTCCAACATTCTAATTCTTTAACAGATAAAGTTTCAAGCAGAAAATTTTTAATTATAATTATTATAAATACCAAAAAATAAAAGTACGACGATCTGTCGGAGTATGAAAATAACGCCTAAATATGTAATACCATACCAACTTTTCAACTTTATCAGTTACATAATAAGCACTAAAGGGTGTCCCACGAAACATGACAGTTGCTAGTTTTGAATGTCGTCTTCCATACACTGTTATAGATATTAAAGGCTGTTTGCAGTTTATTTCGTTTAAAAAATCTTTTGCACAAACATATTTTACTTTAAAGTTAATTTTACTATAATATGACTCCCATGTAATATTTTTAAACTATTTATCAACTTCAACTGTCATGTTTCGTTGGACACCCTGTACTTAAGAAACTAAAGAAAAATAAAATATCCCAATCAGTATCCCAGCATAATTTTCTCAACCTACATTTTCTCCTAACCGTAAACAGCCTTCGCTATCAGATTTCGTTCTGAGCTCGAATGTATGTGTAGTTTCATATCCTCCATACAACGGAATTATTTATCTATATTTCGTTGTTCTAAATGTTAATTTCATTTTCAGTTTCTCTGCGAAAGAGAATTTCTATTCCTTGTTTATAAAGCCAAGTGGAAACTCATGGATATAAACTTTTTTCGAGAAAAAAAACAAGAGCATCTTCCACTATTTTTAGACAGATTTTAAGGTTTCAAGAATACCGTTCGTACTGTTACAAATCGAGCATTGCCATCATTACAACAAGTGTTACTCTAAATTTCGCTTTTAGTCCTTTCAATCATGGAATAATGCTTAATGTCAAAAAAACGTTCATAACTAATTTAAAAGTTTTTATTAAAACCTAACAGAAGATTTATTCATATCACAAAACTTATCAACAAATAATAAATATGGATTTACATTCATATCATTCATTGGTTTACATTTCATTCAAGACCTTGGGTTCTTAAGGTCATGAGTGCTCGGAATGCGCGGATTTTTCCACGAACTTAGTGGATTTTATGCAAACCGTAGTTCACAGATTTCTCTGGTCACGTGATCTCACTTTTAACAGCCTTGTACCGCCCCGCCGCTATTAATTAAATGTCTATAGGGGCGAGGGATGGGATGAGATGAGATTACAATTCATCCTTGAGGTCCTCATCCTCCTCTCCTCCCTCTTCACCGCCGGGGGGAGCTCCACCAGCACCCTGAAAAAAAAACAAGATTAAACAATTGAAAAAACTAAAATTATTCGAAATCAAAATTCCAAAATTTATCCAGAGAGCTTCCAGTTTTCCTTTCTTGAGGGACTCAACACCCATTTGAAACCATAGATTTATCTAATCCCAGGGGAGTGGAATAGTCCACATCTCCCCCCTCCCCCTGAATACGCCTGTTAGATAAATTATTTTTTTTTAAAAATCACCTGGTACAGTTTAGCAATAATAGGTTGAATAATATCCTCCATCTCCTTCTTCTGAGCCTTCAGCTCCTCGGCATCAGCCTCCTGGTTCTCCTCCAACCAAGCGATCTTCTCAGTCAAGATCTCTTCAATCTTCTCCTTCTCGTCATCACTCAGTTTACCACCAAGCTTTTCCTTATCAGCGATCTGGTTCTTAAGACTGTAAGCGTAGCTCTCGAGCTCGTTCCTAGCCTCAACACGTCCCTTGAGCTTAGCGTCCTCATCAGCAAACTTCTCAGCATCATTAATCATCCTCTCGATGTCCTCGGGGGTGAGTCTGTTCTGGTCGTTGGTGATGGTAATTTTCTCCTTGTTTCCAGTTCCCTTGTCCTCAGCAGACACCTGGAGGATACCATTGGCGTCGATCTCGAAGGTGACCTCGATCTGGGGAACTCCTCTGGGTGCTGGGGGGATGTTTGTCAGATCAAATTTACCAAGCTGATGGTTGTCCTTGGTCATGGGACGCTCTCCCTCAAAAACCTGGATGGTGACAGTGTTCTGATTATCAGCAGCAGTGGAGAAAATCTGGGACTTCTTGGTGGGAATAACAGTGTTCCTGGAGATCAACTTGGTCATCACTCCTCCGACAGTTTCAATACCAAGGGTCAGTGGGTTAACGTCGAGCAGGACTAGATCTCCAGTATCCTGTTCTCCAGAGAGGACTCCAGCCTGGACAGCAGCTCCATAGGCAACAGCTTCATCAGGGTTGATTCCTCTGGAGGGTTCCTTTCCATTGAAGAACTCCTTGACAAGAGCCTGGATCTTGGGGATACGAGTTGAACCTCCAACAAGAACAATCTCGTCAATATCCTTCTTACTAAGATCAGCATCTTCTAGAACCTTCTGGACGGGTTTGAGGGTTCCACGGAACAGATCCATGTTAAGTTCTTCAAATTTAGCTCTGGTCAGAGTCTCTGAGAAATCCTCTCCATCAATCAGAGATTCAACCTCAACACGAACCTGGTGAGCGGCGGACAGTGCTCTCTTGGCCTTCTCAACTTCACGTCTCAGCTTCTGAACAGCTCGCACGTCCTTTCTGAGATCCTTGCCCTTCTTCTTCTTGTACAGCTTGATGAAGTGCTCCATGACCCTCTGGTCGAAATCTTCTCCTCCAAGATGAGTATCTCCGTTGGTAGAGACGACCTCAAAAACTCCGTTGTCAATTGTAAGCAGAGAGACATCAAAGGTACCACCTCCAAGATCGAAAACAAGAACATTCTTCTCTCCATCCTTCTTGTCCATACCTAAAAACAAACATTGAATGAAATCAAAACAGATATATGAAATATTTATTTTGTTATTTGATCTCAAACTGTTTGAGGTAAAAAAATTAAAGAATTTTTTTTAAAAGAAGTTTCTGGAAGGGGTGGGAGGTTCAGAATGAAAAACTTCTAAGACTAAAACAACACTGTTAGAAAGGCATATATATATTAAAAAATTACAAATGTAAAGCAAAATCGACAATCGACATGCCAATAGGAAACAACAAAAATAATTACCGTAAGCAATGGCAGCGGCGGTAGGTTCGTTGATAATCCTCATAACATTAAGACCAGCAATGACTCCGGCATCCTTTGTAGCCTGTCTCTGGGCATCGTTAAAGTAGGCGGGGACGGTGACAACGGCGTGGGTGACCTTCTTGCCAAGATACGCCTCGGCGGTTTCCTTCATCTTAGTCAGCACCATGGCGGAGATTTCCTCTGCGGCGAATGTTTTCTGTCCCTGGCTAGTCTCAACCTGAACAAAAATATATTTTTATATTTTTAAAAACAAATCTGACAATCTATAACTTGTAAGGCGTGGTGGGGGGGGGGGTGGTTTTGACCCTCATTAGAGATAAAGAAAAAATGTAATTGAAGAGTTAAAAGGCAAGTTAGAGGTGGAGGGGGGGTGAAGGGGGGTCTCGAGAAACCAAAAATTCATTTTTAGATTTCTCTTAACTAAATTCAAAGAAGTGAGAAATAAGAAATTCTTATTTTTTAGTTAAAAAATAAACTCAATAACTTTGAAACTTATTAAAAAATATTAGCATCAAATAATTAACCTGAATATGCGGCTTAGCATTCTTCTCAACAAGCTTGAAGGGGAAATATTTCATGTCGCTGGCGACAGTTTTGTCAGACCAGTCACGACCAATCAGTCGCTTAGCGTCGAACACAGTGTTCTCAGGGTTAGTTGTCAGCTGATTCTTGGCAGCATCTCCAATCAATCTAAATATATTAGAAAAATTAAAAATATATCTTTTTTTATCCTAAAAAATTTCTTATTCTTTAAATCTTATTATAAATATTATACATCATAAATTAATCTTTATTATTATGCACACCATAAACAAAAACAAGAATGCATAAAAACAAATTAAAAAATAATTTCTCTCACGGAAAAAAAAAAATCAACACTTTTTGTAATAATTAGTTCTCCTAATTTTACTTTATTATTCCTAAAAATTCCCAGATTTACTTAGTACAACCCTTAAATTAGGTCTATATAAAGAGGTGGTTAAAATTCAAGAAAATATCAACCCCTGCACATTAAAAGGTATCATCAGTGCTCTAATAGAGTCTGAGTATGATGTTAACAAGTATTGCTTATTGATTTAAAGATTGATTGCCAACATGAAATAAATAGCAAGTATAATAACAACGAAAAAACAGCTGCATTATATTAAAAATTAAAATCTCTAATAAAATATATATATAAAGATTATAATAATATAAATTACAAAAAGAAATATGCAAGGGTCAGTCCTTGCAAATTATTTATATTTGTGTTTAAGAATAAGAAAAAAAGTATATGAATGCGCTACTTAATTTCTGAGTAAAACAAGAATTGCTCATATGTTTTATTTTAAGATTAGATTGCTGAAATCATGTAAACTAAATTTACACGACTAAACTTCATTTATTAACATGAAATAAATAGAAAGTATAAGTTTAAGAACCAGGAATAAGAAAATAAATAGCAATGTATTAAAAATTAAAACCTCTAATAAAATATATATATGTATTATAGTATTACTATAAATTAATAAGAGAAATATGCAGGGTCAGTCCTAGCAAATTATTTTTATTTGTGTTCAACGATTAGAAAAAAGTATATAATGCGCTACTGAGAGTCTGATTAAAACAAAATTGCTCATATGTTTGGTTTATAGATAGAACATTACTTTAATTGTGTAAACTAAATTTACACAAAACTTCATCTATTAACATGAAATAAATAGCAAGTATAATAAATTGAGAACCAAGAATAAGAAATAAATAGCTGCCATGTATTAAAAATTAAAACGGTTTTTGGACCCCCCCCCCCCCCCCCCTCCTATCAATTTTGTACATGGGTGTGACAGGAAGTTTCTTAACTTAACCTAACCCGTGGCCGCAGCGCTCGGCCCCCTAGCCCATCCTAGCCGCAGCGCTCGGCCCAGAAAGTATCTTAAGCTAACCTAACCCTAAATAACAAAAAAAAAAAATAATAATAAATTTGCTGAAAAATAAATGGTCATGTACAAAATTTATAGAGGAGGGGGGGGGTCCAAAAATCGTATACTAGGACAGACCCTAATTATATAAATTTAAACAATTTCCTAGATTCATTGCCCCCCCCCCTAGCTTATCTTAAATCTATGTACTTAACGACCTCTCCTTACCTTTCTCCGTCGGCTGTAAATGCCACGTAGCTGGGTGTGATTCTGTTTCCCTGGTCGTTGGCAATAATCTCAACTCTGCCGTTCTTAAACACTCCAACACTAAAAAATAAAATTGTAAAAAAAATTATTTAAAAATATAAAATAGATCAACTTACCAAGAATAGGTGGTTCCTAGATCAATACCAATCACAGTCCCAATATCAGCATCCTTCTTTTCCTCAGATCCGAAAACGGCCAACACGGCCGATAAAAGGAATAGAACCTTCATTTTATTTACTGTCCGTACACGGCACTTGTAAATTTAACCTACCCACTGAAAATGTTCCAAGTTATGCACAGTTTGTTAAAACAAATATTTTCCTGTTCTCGTTTCGAATTCTCGAAGGCTTAATTGTGGCTTTGAAAACTTGTGAAGAACACTTTTATGTTATGTTTTTGATTTAATGGTTCATTGAAAACTGAATTCGAAACAAGATCAGGGCATTAAATATGACATGATAGTAGAGCTAAAACACGTATACTAGTCGCTCTGATGACATATGCTAGAATGTGCCGGTGTATTCCTGGATCGTGGATTACTCTGATTGGTCGGAATATATCCTTATCTCGCCTCTCATTGGTTCAAATTTTCCAGCAGCTTTTCTAATTTTGGCGGATTTTGGGGATTCTAACATTTTTCTTAAAGGTTTTCATATGCTGGCATTAGATAATTTAAAATGTTTTGAACAAGAAAATTTGCGTTTTGGAAAAAATATAATCTTCAAAATGTTCTTTACCATCCCTGATCTGTCGGCGTAGGCAAAGTGGCTGGCTGTGATTGGCTGGTTGACCTGGTAAAGCCGCTCCTATTGGACCACGTTCAGACTTCAGACGAACCCTATACAGCTTTTCCTATCAAGGGCTGTTTTACTTCACAATATATTTTGAATTGAATCTTTTACTTGTATTATTTGGCGATTTTTTGAGAGACATCTTTTAAAGCAATGTAAGAAAGAAATTATAATCTAAATAAATTTCCCCGATTTTCGTATATCCCGAGAAAATATTCTACGTGGAAGGCAAAACAAACAGGTTTCAGGATGGTTGCCACCTTGGTAGAGCTGGTTCAAGAACCCCCCCCCCACACTTATACCCTTCCGTTTCCTCCATATTCCCCCTAAATTTGTACTGATCATTAAGATTCATATATAACTGATGTTCTACAAACAATTAATGCAGTATAATAAAAAAGTAAAATCTTTCATTTACCTAACTTAAATCTCAGCTTTTTATAATCCTATTATATCATTTAAAATTATCGTATAATTTGTCTTTTATATTTATAGATCAATTTAAAGCTTTTTAATAGAAGAATTATTTTGTATTATGCAATTAAATCTGAAAAGAAGATTAAAAATCAACTAAATTTTTCACCAATTAACATTATTGACATATATTAAAATATTCATTTCTTAAACTTTCTCCCAGATCTTACTCTTCCATTTTAGGGTCCATATCGCTTAAATTTTTTTTATGAAAATTATGGATTTCAATGATCCAGGGGAGCTAGGGGGCTCAGCTTTCATATTCCGCCCCCTACCCCATGGATACACCTCTGACCTCATTTCTTTCTCATTTAATCAATTTTACCAATAATATCTACAAGTAAATATTTGTTAATTAGATTTTAGGACTTGAACATTTTTCGTTTTAAATAATTTCCTTGTTCGAGAGAGAAATAAACATTTATGATTTATGATGAGCCACAGATGCATATTGATACTATAAGTATAAAGATGAGAAAATAATTTTAAAAGGTATTTTAGTTCAGGTCATTTATTCAATACTTTATCATCTTCTTTTATTTCGTAACTATTTTTAAAAATGTATTTTTTCGGATCGGAAAAGACAAATCACAAATTCCTATTTGCAATTTTATTTCATTATATTTCAACAAATTTTTTTATATAAATTAGTATTCTCTGTTTGTATGTTTGTTTGTCCGATCATAACTCATGAACCCCTGAACCCATTTTACCCTAAATTTTGATTGAAGAACTCGGTAGGACTGCACGCGGGAATAATCTAAAGCTTGATTTAAAAGTTCTAAGTTGAGTTTTATAGAGAAATTTTAGTTCCCAGACAAAGTTGTTTCTCCAAGCTATAAGTATAGAATATTTCTATAAAGGGACCGTTCACTTATTTGGGTAATTTCATGGTAAACTAAACAGCCTAATCGCTGTTGATTGGTATTTAGTCTTACTTTTCAAAGACAACTGTGGCCGGAGAACAAGCCGATTTTTCGTTTAGAATTTGTAAACGTAATTTATAGAATTTGACAGTCAATGTAATTTTAATTGTGTATTGCCTTAATTGCGTCTGAGCAGTGAGCAGACATGATTGAGATATCCATTTCTCTTTGAAAATAAAAAAAATCTTCAAATTCTATAAAAGTGACTTCCAGATTTAGGCGCGGAAGCAAATACTATAAATCGAGTTAAACAAAATTTCGAGGTGGCTCGGACGAGCAAATGAGGAGAGTGTGGCTCGGAATAGGATTGGTTGTGGTTGGCCTTCATCCCCTCGTTGAACACAATTCCAGAATAGCGAGGATATCCTCCTCATTGTTGCTATAGATCAAGGGTATAATGCAAGGAAAGTTATTTGCGGTCATGTATACTCTGCGTACATATTGAAAAAAATATATTTATTCTGATTAAATCAAATCAAATTATTCTTTTAAAGACGTCCTACACCCACACACCAAAATTGAAGTGACTATACTTAATCAATAATGAAGTGAGGAATTACGATTTGTATTTTTGCTAATTTGATATTTGAATGTCTTTAAAATAGACTCAATTTGCCACCAAAACTTCATTTTTTGAAATTTTTATTTCATTTGCTAATTATTTACATTACATTTTATTCATTGCAAATAAAGGATGTCCAAAAAGAAGTTAAAACGTTTATGTGAGTGATGAGAGGCAAATTTAGCGAAGTATTGCAAACATGTTTTTGGTTGCCTAAGATTTTTTTTATTTTTCGCCAAAAATGTCGCATAATTTTTTTTACGAAATTCCTAATTTCTCACAAAAACGTTTTAACATCTTTTTCACTTACGTAAACGTTTCAACTTCTTTTACCACTCACATAAACATTTTAATATATTTTTCCACTTAAATAAACGTTTTAACATTTTTTCCACTTACATAAACGTGTTAACTTCTTTATCCACTTACAGAAACGTTTTAACTTCCATTTCCACCTACATAAGCGTTTTAACTTCTTTTTCCACTTACATAAACATTTTAATATCCTAAAACTTCCTTTTAACTTACAACTTCCTATTGACCTACAACTTCCTATCAAACTAAAACGTCCTATCAACCTACAAAGTCCTATCAACCTACAACTTCCTATCGACCTACAGCTTCCTATCGACCTTCAGCTTCCTATCTAACTACAACTTCCTATTGACCTACAACTTCCTATCGACCTAAAATTTACTATCAGCCTACAACTTCCTAGCAACACACAACTTCCTATTAACCTACAAATTCTTTTCATCCTACAACTTCTTATTGACCTACAACTTCCTATCAACCTACAACTTCCTATCAACCTACAACTTCTTATTGACTTAAAACTTCCTATTTATCTCCAACTACTTATCAACATACAACTTCCTATTGACCTACAACTTCCTATCAACCTACAACTTTTTATTGACCTACAACTTCCTATCAACCTACAATTTTTTATTGACCTACAACTTCCTATCGACCTACAGCTTCCTATCAACCTACAACTTCCTATTGACCTACAACTTCCTTTTGATCTACAACTTCCTAAAAACCTACAACTTCCTACTAACATACAACTTCCTAGCAACCTACAACTTCCTATCAACCTACAACTTCCTATCAACATACAACTTCCTATCAGCCTACGCCTTCCTATCGACCTACAACTTCCTATCAATCTACAACTTCCTAACAACATACAACTTCCTATCGACCTACAACTTCCTTTCAACCTACAACTTCCTATCAACCTACAACTTCTTATTGAACTACAAGATATACAGTAAACCTAGAATACAGTAAACCAAAATCACAGTAAACCAAGGATACGGTAAACCTAGGATACAATAAACCAAAGATATAGGAAACCAAGGATACGGTAAACCTAGGATGCAATAAACCAAGGATACAGTAATAAACCAAGGATACATTAAACCAAAGCCACAGTTAACCAAGGATACGGTAAACCTAGGATACAGTAAATCAAGGATACATGTAAACCAAAGCCACAGTAAACCAAGGATATAGTAAACCTAGGATACAATAAACTAAGGATACAGTAAACCAAGGATACAGTAAACCAAGAATACAGTAAACCAAGGATACAGTAAACCAAGGATACAGTAAACCTAGGATACCATAAACCAAGGATACAGTAATAAACCAAGGATACAGTAAACTAAGGATACAGTAAACCTAGGATACAATAAACCAAGAATACAGTAAACCAAGGTTACAGTAAACTAAGGATACAGTAAACCAAGGATACAGTAAGCTAAGGATACAGTAAACCAAGGATACAGTAAACCAAGGATACAGTAAACCAAGGATACAGTAAACCAAGGATACAGTAAACCAAGGATACAGTAAAGCAATAAACCAAGGATACAGTAATAAACCAAGGATACATTAAACCAAAGCCACAGTTAACCAGTTACTATTACAACATATAACTGGTGATGGTTTGATACCAATTCTACCCATTTCGGGATGATCATCGACAAAAAAGATGTATTAATTTATTTTTATAATATATGATTCCAAATATATTATAAAATCTATGAACTTTAAATGAACATTTTAAGAGAAAGAACAGTATTGAATTATTTGAAACATATTTGTAAATAATAAGTTAAAGAAAAGGGTATAAATTGAATATGTACTTAGGTTTCATATTTGTACAAAAGTTCTGCCTGTTATTATAAGATTCAGTTATTTAACTTTCAAATGGAAAAATTAAAATATGTAAAATGTACATAATCAATAAATAATGTACATAATCAACACGTGTTTAAATTAAAAGGCACCGTGTGCGGCAGTTTGATTATACGTACTGTATCGTCTCCTGAAGTGTGCAGTCGCTTTTTTTTACAAAGCTTTACATCCGAGCTGTTTGAAGGCAGAAATCGTATTTGATATTCCTCTACATTCAACAACAGAGTGCTCATTCAGGCTGTCTTCATCCAAAACTCTGGAAAATGAAGACGACTTTTAAACTCAAAGTTTGTCATATAGTGAGTCCATTGAACATAAAACACAGAAGTTGTGCAGTGAAAACAGACCCATTTTTAGCGCTAAATAAGTGATTTAATAAGTTACAAGTGAAACTATTTGCTTTGTAACATCTAACACAATTATTAGTTGCTTCAATGTCGTCTTCCTATTCCAGAATTACCTGGTCCTCACTGTAGAAATTAAAGTAATATTTTAAAAATTAAATCTGTTTAGTAATTCTCTCCCATTTAACCCTGCTCTGAGCACCCCCCCCCCTCACAAAACCCCATCTGCGGAGATTAACCCTATTATCCTGGTCCAGTGACCCCTTGCTGGTCCAGTGGTTCCCTCCTGCTGAGATTTATCAGGATAATTGGTTAAACTCCGCCCTCCTCACACCTTGTAAAGGGTTATCAATATTTCAATCTTAACCCTGGATACCCTGGGGATACAGCAGTCTCCGCCCCGGGGTAATATTTGAGTGCCTTGAGGGTATTTAGCGAAGCCTGGGGGCGTGTGAAGTGTGCTTAAGGGTAGGATTAATATGGTTCCTGAGCAAGGACGTGTTCTGACTAGGGCTGGGCGTCGTTCCTGGAGAACAATTAGTTCTTTCACGAGAACGAACGGAACAATCAAGAACGATCCCATCGTTCTGAAAGAAAAATTATTAAAGGTTGGAGCCGTTCTCAAGGGATGGAAACATTCTTGACAAATAACGGAACGAAAGGGATGGAACCGTTCTTTGACTAACAACGCCAAGAACGGAATGGAACGGGAGGAATGTTCTTCTACTCAGCTCTAGTTCTGACAGAAGTCAAGTTCAAGTTGACAGTTGATCAATCAGTATTGAATAATTAGACAAGACAAAGAGTAACATTTTTACATANCTTTCAAGTCGTCTTGTGTCATGTTTCGTGGGACACCCTGTACATGCTTTGCAGACGGTACTCCATTTAAAGGGCGTTTTTAAATTTCTTTAATGTGGTTTTTTACTACAACCATAATAGTTAAGACCTATCTTTTATAATATAAAAAATACGTTTGTATTGTTAATATTTTTGCAACCGAAAAAATTAATTTATTTGGCGAAATGCAGCCCACTTAATGTATACAATAACCTTTTCTGGATATATGTACGCGGTAATTGTACATAAGACAGTTAAGGGAAGCATAAATTTCCGAATCTAGTTGTTCAAAATTGTTTTCAGTCAACAGTCAATTTGCTCCAGTTTTTAATAATCTTTTTGGAAAATTTTCCGTTGTAAAATGCTAGGAATTTATCTTAAAGGGAGTGTTCGCGAAAAATGAAAGGGGGTATAGGCTTAATGCGATAAAAAGCGCTTTTGATCGCTACTAATCTTGCTTCTATCTGTTGCGTCTATAAGGAGAAAATTGCTAAAAACGACTCACACCGAAGAACGCGGCGTCCATACAAATTCGGAAAGATGCAACATTAAACATTAAACAAATCAATTTAATGCCAAACAAATCATTCAGATATTACAAACAGTAGTCATCGATTATTTTTCGACGCATTCGTATATAGTTAATATTTCACAATTCATAATTTTTATTGAAAAAATCCTTAACATCAAATAACTGTCGTACTGTTTAAATGTCGTCTTCCTATTCCACAGTTTTCTGGTTCTCACTGTAAGTAAACGCTAACACTAACAGTAATAATTAAACGTTTATTCTTGAAGCTCGTAACAAGAAAAATAAATACTTACAATTTTCCAAATAAATGCAGAGTTCTTAAACGGACGCTATTACGAATTTCCGATTCACAAGGGTAACAGCTATCTGCGTTTTTGTAGCTTTATTTTATCAATTTCTTTCATCGTCTCTGCAGCCTGAATCCGCAAATAAAATTTATGGAAAACCACAGAGATAACAAAAAGGGAAATAAATCTAACAGTCCATTTAAGAATACATTTGTAATTTTTATACGCTAATAAATAACATCAATTTACAATCTAAATTTTACAAATCATATTTTATAAATTTAAACCCTGAGGTATTCTAATAAAAATGAGTGAGGAAATATGGGAAAATAGAAAAATGATAAAGAAAGCTACAAGAGAGCAGAAGAACAAAGAAAAAAAGGTAAAAGGTGGTAGAAAGAAAGGTTGTAATGTAGAAAAAAATGTAAAAAGTGGTAGAAAGAAAGGTAGTGATGAAGAAAAAAAGGTAAAAGGTGGTAGAAAGAAAGGTAGTAATGTAGAAAAAAAAGGTAAAAAGTGCTAGGAGGAAAGGTAGTGATGTAGAAAAAAGGTAAAAAGTGGTAGGAAGAAAGGTAGTGATGTAGAAAGACAAAGGAAAATGCAGGAATGTAAACTATTTCAACATTTAACGCAAATAATTTCGGATTGAGAGGATTTAATGTTTAATTTTGAACAAGAAATTGACACGCTGACACATTTGGTTAAAATTAAAACAATTCTGTTTTTTTTTTCAATTACATAATTTTATTTTTAAGACAAAATATGCACACCAATTGTTTTTGATTGAAGAAATGATATTGGGTGAGTGGAACTGGATACAATGATTTAAATAGATATATATAAATTGACAATTTCAAAAGCTGAATTTTCTACTATTCTTTAAAAGAAAAACAAATGAGAAAAAAACGAAATACCCCGGTCTACAAATTAGATTTTAATCAAGCTGAATAATACACATAGTTTAAATACTCGAAATAACAGTAAAATTGTGACTGAAAAATCAATATGGAATTTGGTTCTGATGATATTGAAGCATATCGTAAGCTCTTGTTCTGAAATTAAGGAAGCTTCTCTGGATCACTCCGATCATAAATAAAGCTGCTTCCCTCTCCGAAGCTGCTGGTTGTAGACGCTGCCTGTAATATAAAAGAAGCATCAGTGAGCAATCAAGTACTGTAAAAAACTTTACAAAGAACTACTTCTACTGCTACTGCTACTGCTACTGCTCCTGCTCCAGCTACTGCCACTGCTCCTGCTACTGCTACTATTAGTATACCTGAGTAGTTCTATAGTCTGTCCCCTGAAGCAAGGTAGTCCAGTATCCAGCATCAACTGCACCAGGTAGATCAAGGAGTTTGTATATGGGCGGATAACAAGGTAAGCTTTCACACACAACTCCATGAACCATCTGAACAATAAGATTGTTCGTTAAAGTGTTAAGTGTGAATTGTTCAATGTGAATGAAGCATGTGTAAGCTTACAGAACACTTGATCTGGTATTTGTTCACATTACGCAATTTGTGCATGACAAAAATAGTAAAAACGCATTTGCGTAAACATGAGCATTAAAGGGACTGTAGACGTATTTTCAAATTGACTCTCCATGTAAAGATTGGCATTTCCGATTCAAACTGGTACCCTGCTAACATTTGTCTGGTCATAGGCGGTGGAGAAATTCGCATGTGATTGTACATAAAATGCCCAAACTATACTGAAAAAAATAGAGAGTAAAGAAATGTGGAAACTTTGGAAAATGTGGAAACTTAACAACTAATAATGACCTTAAACATGACAACAACCTTGTCTCATGACCACCACAACCATGACCCCGACAACGACCATGATCATGATCAATACCATGACTTTGAACACGACAACAACCATGACCACGACCACGACCGCAACCACGACCATGACCATGAATGTTTACCTAAAAGGTTGGGCCTCCATCTTGCCCCCCATGATTTCTACAAATTCTGTTGTAAGCTTCATATCTGGTTCAAACGCCATGTTACCTCCAGGAGAACTTTCAAACATAAATCCAAAATCTAGAAACATGAATTATTTTTAATGGGACTGAAAGCGTAATTTCAAGTGACCCTCAATGCAAAAATGGCAATGGCACTTCACAACGGTATTCAATGAATTTTACTGACCTATATGAATAATATGCCCGTCTTCGTCCACCATTATGTTTCCATTATGTCGATCCTAAAATACAAGATTCACAATTTTGTGTCGACGATGCTCCAGTGATGCTAAGTTCTTTCCCGAAGGAATTTTCCCTAGCGGCAACTTCCAAAGAGTATTTCACCATGTGGCAACTTCCCAAATGTGCAATTTCAATCACGGCAACTGTTCTAGCTGCAGCGCTCGGTTCCTCTATCCTATTCATGTCGCAGCGCTTGCCACCCCCCCCCCCCGCCTAACCAAATTTTAAAAGGCCAGACCTAAAATCTTAATGTTTATTTGGGAAGTTACCACTTGGAAAATTGATCCCAGGAAAGTCGCTCTTGGGAAGTTACCTAACACCGATCCAAACCTAAAAGAGTAAATAAAATAGGTGTTTGTGCAACTCTTTGTTTGAAAATATATTTCGACCTGGTCCCTCTTCGGTTCTAATGATATAATAATCAACAAAATAAATGATAAAAAAAAATTAAAATATCAAAAAAACCCTAAAAAACTTTTTTAAGATTTACCAAGGAAAATAAGGAAAGAGTTCAAACAATGATATGCTTAAGAAAGGATATCTAAACTTTTAGAAGAAATGACCTTAAACATTATTATTCTTAGAAACTTAGATCAATTTAAAACTAATATAACTAAATGTTTACAATGATCCCAGTCCTAGTGAGTCTATTTTTATTAGCCTTAAAGGGAGTGATCGGCTATATAAGGTAGTTGAACTGAGTATGCAGTGTTGTGGAAAACTTCTTTCGGATTCATTTGAGACATATTAAACGTTTTAAAGATCTGTAAATCCTGAGTTTGAGCGCAAATTCGACGTTCAAAACTCCTACTGTGGGGGTGGATACGTTTTCAGAATTAGTTCCTTCTTAATTATTAAATGAAACCGAAAGAAGTTTTCCACAACACTGCATACTCAGTTCAACTACCTTATATAGCCGGTCACTCCCTTTAACTTACTGAGATTGTTACTTTTTTATTCCTTGCCTTTATTTGAAGAATAAATCCCATGACAGAGTAGGCAGCCATAGAGGTGATAAAATTCCTTCGTGCCGTCTACACCATAGAGGAGTCATAAATTGAGTAGTTGTAGATTTATTCATAGAGGAGATATTAATAGAGTAGATGTAGATTTATCCATTGAGGAGATATTAATAGAGGTGTAGATTTATCCATAGAGAAGATATTAATAGAGTAGTTGTAGATTTATCCATAGAGAAGATATTAATAGAGTAGTTGTAAATTTATCCAATCCATAGAGGAGATATTAATAGAGTAAATCATAGTTCAGATATCATTAGAAATGTGTAAATAAAAAATCAATTTTAACTATTGACGAAACTAAAACAGGAAAACCAATTTTGGGCCATACAGATGTTTCAAGTTAAAAGAGGAGTTTTTTTCAAACATTAATTAGCCAATATAAAACAAAGGGAATGAACTAAACATTAAAAATTCTTTGACAAGTTTAATGCCAACAACAACGCTTTCAGAGCCCGCGATTTAAAAAATTCGGGAAAATACGGCTCGGGTATAAGGTTTCGTTGGACCTTATTTACGACTTGAGCTTTCGGATTCAAGCTGCATCTTATTTTCCACCGAGTTGAATGCAAAAAACCGGTTTAATATTCTATTTGGCAGATGTTCCTGGTAGGAATTGGCGCATTCCCAGTTTTTATGAGAACAAGACTCAACATTGAGCCTTATTCTCCACTAAAACCAACCAAGGTCGGTTTTATTTTCATTGGGCCTAACTCCTTAAGTCGAGCCGAAGATCTTGCATCTGTCAATCACGTGACACCAGCTGTCGTTAGAGTTGGGTCGAAGATTGCGTCTTAAAGTCGGGTTTAAGGAATTACGACTCGAGCCGAAGCTTTTAAATCGCGGGCTCAGGGGTAACATTGCGGAGGAACTTCTTCAGCCTCTTTAATATTCATAAACTAATAAAACCTTGAAAACTTCAACTTGAAAGAAAACTGAAATGATGACTCTGTATGTTCCTTAAAGCTGGTGCTGGTCTCGTCTCCATACTTCTTCTTGAAATAATTAAATAGATCAGTATCCGTCCTCCGGCCCAGCTGGTCACGTGATTTAGCATCAGGAACACATTCTAGATAGATAGACAGATAGATAGATATATGGATAGATAGATAGATAGATAGATAAATAGATAGATAAATAGAGAGATAGAAAATTAGATAGATAGAAAAAAAGATTGATAGATAGATAGGCGTTAAAGACATATAAATATTTAGATAGACAAAAAGATAGACAGAACGACAAATAGATTAATAGATAGATAGATAGTTGTAATTGTTTAGATGGATAGATAGATAAACAGACGAAAAAAAGGAAAGATGATAGAGTATATAGATAGATAGATATTGAAAGAAAAGAGATTTCTCGTATTTCTATTTTACCAATAACTCCGCAGCCAGGTTTAGTAGCAACTACTTTATAGGGGAAAAGGTAGAGGTCCAACCCACTCTGCGCAAATACATCCTTAATAAATATATAATTAGATTAATATATAGATAGAGATATATTTAGATAGTAAGATAATTAGATAGATTAAGAGATAGACAGATCTACTTAGATAGATACAGAGATGGACAGATAATTAGATTGACAGACAAATAGATATATAGATAAATATATAGATAGATAGATAGATAGATAGATAGATAGATAGATAGATAATTAGATTGACAGATAGATATATAGATAAATATATAGATAGATAAATATATAGATAAATAGATAGATAGATAGATAGATAGATAGATAGAAAAATCGTTCAAGTGCGGGTAAACGGCAGGAGTAACGTTTAGTAACCTGGGCAGCGCTGGGTTCCCAAGCTAGTCCTTAATAAAATCCAAAAAAATGTGAGGATTTGCCAACCAGCTTCAAGTTTTCAATGTTAACTGATTTTTCATTGATCATTGGTGAATCATTGATCCTTGATTTTTCATTTTTCAATTGTAAGTGATCATTGAATTGTACCTTGAAGAGTGAGATGACCTATAGAGCGAGGATATATCTATTGAGTTGTGTTACCTTGAAGAGTGAGATGACCTGCAGAGCGAGGATATCTTGTCTACAATCATCTCCAACCTAGTATAATTATATATACAAATATATACATGCGGTATAAATGGACATACATGTAGTCCAATAATTAAAACATGAATACTATTTTTTCAATTTGAGAAGTAAAAAAAATATGGAAGAAAAACCTTAAATATAGCAGCTTGCCAGTATGTATCTCTCTCCTCCCCACTACCACCGCTTTTACCACTTTTCTGCCCTAAAAAGGTAACATTTAACAAATATTAAAAAGGCCAACAAAGATCATTTTAACTTAAAAACAAACAGTAGAATAGTATGGCTAATGACTAAAAATTAAAAGAATGAATAATTGAATATTGTGAATAATTGAATATTGTGAATAAATGAAAATTGTAAATAAATGAATATTGTGAATAAATGAATATAGTGAATAAATGAATATTGTGAATAAATGAATAAATGAATAAATGAATAAATGAATAAATGAATAAATGAATAAATGAATAAATGAATAAATGAATAAATGAATAAATGAATAAATGAATGAACCTGGGGATACTGGTGACGTGGCTGCATACTCCAAACCAAACTTTTCTAAATCTGATATCCCGCATTTCTTCACCTAAAATACAGAATCTTCAATAAAGATGCAAAGATGGCAATGCCCGATCTACAACGTGACCAAAACTGTGGAATTTTCCGACACGAAATTTCTGATAATTTCTCCATTGCTTCTCATAAGCAAGAAACTTTCGCAGAGCAACTGCAAATGAACATGAAACAGTTTAAAGAAACAATAACATTGATATCTAATCCGATCATGATCAGACAAAGCTTTTAAGACTACTGTTGTAAATCGGACATTGTCATCTTTGCATGGAGGGTCACTTTTTGAAATTGCGCTTACAGAGCCTATAAGTCTGGTTTACCTTAAATCTGGCCAGGTATGGAGCTTTAGCAGCACTCTGCATAGGCTGACCACTTGTTCGGTCAATATCCAGTACTAGAGCTTCAGGGTTAGAGGGGAGATAGCAACCTAGATATATCCAGTACTAGAGCTTCAGGGTTAGAGGGGAGATAGCAACCTAGATATTAATATCTAGTACTAGAGCTTCAGGGTTAGAGGGGAGATAGCAACCTAGATATTAATATCCAGTACTAGAGCTTCAGGGTTAGAGGGGGGATAGCAACCTAGATATTAAGGTTACAGTGGTAACAAAAAAAACAGTCTTCCTCTTTGTTTCTTTATACTACGAAACGTATCAACAAATTTTGTAATTTGTAACTAATTAAATTTCTAAATAAGCCCTCAACACTTGAAGACGGATGTAAGTTTATCGATATTTCTAAATTGACATAGAAAACAAATTTTAACATTATTTGCTGGATGGGCCTTAGTCGAACCGGTCCAGCTTCTACATGACTACAGAATGTTAAAAGACTGCCATCTAACGCCATTTACTGCAACTTATCCCATTCCAAGGATTGAAATTTTGCCATTTTAATGAAAATTTAGATTTCAAACATTTTTCCACTTTTTTCACAAAAATCATTTCTTGAAAAGACAATTTTTTAAGGTTTTGTATACAATTGCATCCCATGGAATCCCTTTTGCATTTTTTATGATAATTTTCTCCAAAAATTCATTTATTTCTCCATAAAAATAATTTATTTACCCCAATTAAGCAAAAAAAACTCATTAACAATAAAATTATTTTCAAAGTGGGGGGGGGGTTTGATTTTTCAAGAAATTATACACCACTGGATAGATGTTTGCTAATAGGGCATGAACTTCAGGTCTACACAACGGACCCAGCTGTTGAAAATATGACACTTTCTCTATTTCTGCCAAAACAATAAGAAATTGAATTCTCTTCTCTCGAGCAGAATTCTTGATTAAAAAAACGAACAGGCGAACATTTATCAGTCTTTTATCAGTCTTAAAACAAATTGCAGAATTTATAGAATCCCTGCACATCCTACATGTCGATAGAAAAATCCAAATTCATTATTTTTAATTCTACGAAAAAATCCACCTTTCTCTAATTTGATCTCCGCGAGTGCAGCAAGACAAGCATCCTTTCTCTTCTTTCCTTTCTCAAACCCCTTGATCTTCCCAGATATATCAGTGATCTCCTAAACAGATATATCAGTGATCTCCTAAACAGATATATCAGTGATCTCCTAAACAGATACATCAGTGATCTCCTAAACAAAACGAATAATTAAAATATGCGACAGATTGAAATTAATTTAAAGGGACCCTCCACGTAAAGATGAAAATACCCGATTTACAACGGTACCCTTGAAACCTTAATCTGATCAAAAATGTGGAAGATATTGTCGTTTTTCTAGGTTCAAACGTGTTTGATTCAGATAATTTCTGCATGTTTCCATGCGCCAGTCACTTTTTTTCTTGGAGATAATGAAGAAAGCACAATTGAAAATATTCAGTTTTCAAAATTAGAAGTTCATTGATTTCTAATTCATACTTGATCAGACAAAGCTTTTAAGGGTTCCGTTGTGAATTAATGCCATTTTGTCACAGAAAGTCATTTGAAATTATGCTTACAGCCCCTTTAATTTGAAATTATGCTTACAGTCCCTTTAATTTAAAATTATGCTTACAGCCCCTTTAATTTGAAATTATGCTTACAGCCCCTTTAATTTGAAATTATGCTAACAATCCCTTTAATTTAAAATTAATTTACCTTGAAGAACTCAAACTCTCTAAGATAGAAATTTTTGGCCGCAGGGCTCAATAGTTCTTCGATACTTTTCCGTACTGGTAGCAGTTTATCATACATTACGGGGTCCTGAAGTAATTTGTATCATTCTAAGATAAAAGAGGTTAACGTAACCCCCACCACTCTCCTTTCCCTTAGTCTTTTTTTGATGGGGGGGGGGGGGTGAGTTAGGAAAAAATGATCACAAAATCTAAATGCATGGTCCACCCTTTCCTACCTTCTCTATACCCTCTTCATCTGTATACATGTTGGCCTCCATATTCCAGATAATTTGATGCGCCACTAGGTTGGATCTTTGAGAGATAGACTTGATAAACTCTTGTACATAACCTAGAAATAAAACTCTTGTACATAACTAGAAATAAAACTTTTATACATAACCTATAAATAAAACTCTTGTACATAAACTATAAATAAAACTCTGGTACATACCTAGAAATCAACTTTTATACATAACCTAGAAATAAAACTCTTGTACATAATCTATAAATAAAACTTTTGTACATAACCTAGAAATAAAACTCTTGTACATACCTAGAAATCAACTTTTATACATAACCTAGAAATAAAACTCTTGTACATACCTAGAAATAAAACTTTTGTACATAACCTATAAACAAAACTTTTGTACATAACCTAGAAACAAAACTCTATTACATGTAAATAGCACTAAATGTATAGCTTAAATTAAAACTTTTTTTACATAGCACATAAAATACTCTAAAAATTACTTAACCTGTAAAAAATGGCAAACATACATGTTTTCAATCAAGAAAACTTTTTCAGAACTGTGCGCCCCGAGCTGGAAACACTTGTTTTGTGGATATCGAGATCAATGCTTGATCTTCTCTTTTTTGTTAATCTGCAGATTAAATTAATCTTTAATCAATATCCATGAAAGTTTTTATAATTAAACCAATCAGAATGTCTCTTGCAGAAACCGAACAGCCAATCAGAAGCCAGGAAAGTTGCGCGCAATTGCTTGCAGGGATTTCCAAAAAGAGAAGATTAAGAGGAAAGCAAAAGAGGATATCGAAATTAAGCTATTGGGAAAAAGGTATAAAATACGACAGTTTTCAGCTGTATTATCTTCTTTTTAAACTGTGAATTAGGACCTAGAAACGTGAATCATCGTATCTGACCTGGACTAGCTGGGGTATATAGAAAATGTACCTAGATCATCGTATCTGACAGCCTGGACTAGCTGGGGTATATAGTAAATATACCTAAATCATCGTATCTGACAGCCTGGACTAGCTGGGGTATATAGTAAATATAACTAAATCATCGTATCTGACCACCTGTACTAGCTGGGGTATACAGTAAATATACCTAAATCATTATATCTGACCGCCTGTACTAGCGGGGTATATAGTAAATGTACCTAAATCATCATATCTGACAGCCTGGACTAGCTGGGGTATATAGTAAATATACATAAATCATCGTATCTGACCGCCTGTACTAGCTGGGGTATATAGTAAATATACATAAATCATCGTATCTGACCACCTGTACTAGCTGGGGTATATAGTAAATATACCTAAATCATTATATCTGACCGCCTGTACTAGCGGGGTATATAGAAAATGTACCTAGATCATCGTATCTGACCGCCTGGACTAGCTGGGGTATATAGAAGAGGACAGCCTCGGCAGGGTAGGAGTTCAACACTCTGCACACAATATCAGGGTTAAAGGGACAAACAACAATTATTTTCAATTTAAAGGGACAATATAAAAAATACAGTAGTCGTCATATATAAAAATACAATGAAGATGAATTTCTATTTCAATTTTTACTTCTTACCAATCTTTCAAACATTGAATACACATAAACATGTAAACCAAGAGAAGTTGTCAATAACCAGTTTCTTTTTGATTACTTGTAAACTTGTAATCTAAAAATGTTTGTAAGTGATCCAAGCATTATTAGTAAAATGTCGTATTCACTGTATTGATATAATCTCCGACCACTGTAGCAGAAATTTATAAAAATTTATCAAAACATGAAAATTTTCGGATGTTTATTTTTATCTATTCTTTGTAGAAAATGTTGGAAAATTGAACCAAAATCTATAAAAATACTGAATAATTAAGTTGAAAAAAGTAAATACTATTGTTAACCAGAAAACTCTGGAATAGGCAGTCGACTTAAAACTCAAGTTATAAACAGTAAACAGACCCATTTCACTTAATAAGTGATTTAATAATTTACTAGTAAAGCTAATTGCTTTGTAACAACATCAAATGCTTTAGTGTTTTCTTCCTTTGCTTCAGTTTCCTGGTTATCACTGTATGTATATATAAATTTGGCTTGTCTGTCTGTTTGTTTGTATCCATTAAACGTCAAAAAGACTGAACCGATCGGGCCCAATTTTTTTGTGACCCCATGTTACACCAGGGAAGGTTTATGAACGATCAAAATTTAATAAATTTGTCTTTAAAAGTTTTTATTTTAATTTTTGTAAAATGTTCAAAATTTTGAAATCGGCGAACAAATTCAATTTCTTATAAATTTTCAAAATCCACAAAACTTTTTTCATGAAATCCGCGAATTTTTTGTTTGTTTTTGTTTTTAAATTTACACACAGAGAACATGTTCTCAATTTAAATAAAAGATGGGCCCTAAAAGTCTAGTAATTTTAAATGTTTAACAAATTCCAAAAACGCTCATTCAATACACTGACAAAATAAGAATAAAATGTCAACCTTGTAGCATACTGCGCAGTCAGAGGGTGGATTGGTAGAGTCCGTTTACAGAACAGGGACAGAGCTCTAAATAAATATTCAAATATTGGATATTCTAAAAAATAATCAATTAATTAATTACCTAAGTGGAGAGCAGCGCGCCCAGGTGAGAAGATGAGGCAATTCAGGGCCATCCCGTTCAACCTGGTTTATATTGATATTGGTATTGATGATGATACTGATTATAATGATACTGATATTATTAATAATACTGATAATTATGATAATCATTAAAATGATTATATTAATAATATTGACAATAATAATGATAATGATAGTTATAATGATTATGATAATTACAAGGATAATAATATTGATATTATAAATGGTACTGATCACTATATTTTTCATTAAAATGATAATGATGATGAAAATGATAATGATCAACAACAACAACAACAATACTACTACTACTACTAATACTACTACAACTTCTACTACTACTACTACTACTACTACTACTACTACTACTACTACTACTACTACTACTACTACTACTACTACTAATAATAATACTAGTAATAATAATAATGATACCACTAAAAATGAAGAATAAATTGCTGAAGTGCACCTGTTCTTCTGAGAGGAAGAATGCCAGTGCCTGAGGGATATGGCAGACCTTGGTGGGGTAAGTCCTGGTTAGCTGACACACCTGGTAAATAAAATATAGTACATAAAGGGACTGTAACGTTGTCTGTGGGCCTTAACTAAGGAATTCATTTCCACACCTTACATGAGATATTTCCTATTTAAACTTATTGTTAGTTATTTCAAATATTTTTCATAAAAACTCTTCGACGCTATTTTCGGCGGTATAAAATTATGTTCAAAATATGAATAAAGATATGTCGAGTCGATACAGATACAGATCCAGATCCAGATACAGATACAGATACACATACAGATCCAGATACAGATACACATACAGATCCAGATACAGATAAAGATACAGATACACATACAGATACAGATACAGATATAGATACCGATACCGATACAGATACAGATACACATACACATACAGATCCAGATCCAGATCCAGATCCAGATCCAGATCCAGATCCAGATCCAGATCCAGATACAGATACAGATACAGATACAGATACACATACAGATACACATACAGATACAGATAAAGATACAGATACAAATACAGATAGGGCTAGTCACGATCACACTTTTTTCTCACCGTTCGTTAACGATTAGGTAAAATCGTTCAAAAGACTAACTTTTCAAATGTGCGTTCGTTCTTAGCTAAAAACTGAGCGTTTCGTTGAGTTAAAGACATTTTCCGTTCTTTAGAAAGTTACAACTCGTTAATGGTCTTAATAATATTAATGAGGTTAATGGTCTTAATAATATTAATGAGGTTAATGGTCTTAATAATATTAATGAGGTTAATAGTCTTAGTAATATTAATGAGGTTAATGGTCTTAATAATATTAATGAGGTTAATGGTCTTAATAATATTAATGAGGTTAATGGTCTTAATAATATTAATGAGGTTAATGGTCTTAATCTTAATAATATTAATGAGGTTAATGGTCTTAATAATATTAATGAGGTTAATGGTCTTAATAATATTAATGAGGTTAATGGAAGACATTTTAAATTAACGATTATTTCATAAAAAGGGAAAATTAGAAGTCATCGTGTAAAACCAATAAAACACATAAAAGCTTTAGAAATGTAAGAGTTCAATTCTGTTTTAAGCAGATAAGTAACGAAAGTCGCCTTTATTTTTAAACATACATTTTTTCTTTTGAATTGTTCGTTATTTTTCCTTCATAATCAAGAACGGTTATTTCGTTTGTTTACAAATTCAAATTTAACGAATTTTGTCGTTCGGTAACGGAATATTCCGTTAGATTTTAAAAACCTGTCATTCGTTAACGAAACGTTGCCCAGCCCTAGATACAGACAGGCTGGACTTCGTTGTAGTTAGGTTTTACGTTAGGTTAAGATACTTCTGAATTAAGTGTTTTAATCGTTTTGGATCGCTTAAAAAAAAGATCCAAAAACGACCGATACAACACGCTCGTGTTAACATCGTTTTAGCATTGTTTTAGCATAGTTTTAGCATAGTTTTAACAACGGTTTACCATCGTTTTTTGCATATATTTTCTGTCAGGGTCAATATTTAACCTAGCACAATAAAAGTAAATGTGTGGAATAAAATATTTATAAGACATTAATTACACTTTGTCNAAATATAGGATTAGTTCTGGTCTGATTCTGCATATCCTCGCGCCATTTTGCTGAATATAAATATAGGATTAGTTCTGGTTCGATTCTGCATATCCTCGCGCCATTTTGCTAAATATAAATATAGGATTAGTTCTGGTTCGATTATGCATATCCTCGCGCCATTTTGCTGAATATAAATATAGGATTTGTTAAAAATTAAAATGATAATAATAATAATGACACTTACAGTTAATCTAACCCTATAAAATTTCTTTTTAATCAACTAACAAACCTTCATTTAATTAATATTTGACCTACAAATTAAACATTTTACCGCTATTTCCCTCTCATGCCTCTATTGGTCTCTCAAGCCCCTCAATGGCCTTCCATGGCCTTCCATGACCTTCAAAGACCTTCCATGAACTTCCATGACCTTTTATAACCTTTCATGACATGTACTGTCCTCTCTTGACCTTAAATGTCCATTCCGAACCTTAAATGTCCGTTCCTGACCTTTCCTTCCATTGACTGGCCTTCCATTACCTTACCTGACATTCATTGTCCGTTCCTAACCTTTTCTAACCGCTCATGAACTTACTGCTAATGACTTTTATGACCACTCATGAGCCCTCCAAATTGTAAATGTTACGAAACCTTTATGACCGTGTGTACCTTTAAACCTCACTAAACCTTTCTCACTTTCTCATAATCTCTCGTAATCTCTCTCAATCTCTCCGAACTTCTCTCAATCTCTCCTAACTTCTCTCAATCTCTCTCAATCTCTCCGAACTTCTCTAAATCTCTCTAAATCTCTCTAAATCTATCTCAATCTATCTCAATCTCTCTCAATCTCTCTCAATCTACATCTCTCTACATCTCTCTACATCTCTCTACATCTCTCTACATCTCTCTACATCTCTCTACATCTCTCTACATCTCTCTACATCTCTCTACATCTCTCTAAATCTCTCTAAATATCTCTAAATCTCTCCAAATCTACCTGCATCAGCTAGTTGCTTAGCTTCCTCCTTCCCTACTTGAACCCCAGCCCCTGCAGGAGTTTCTAGGTCTAGAGGGGAGAGCCAGGTCACCATCATATCTATCTCTACAGCCTGGGTTATATTCTTCATTAACATCATCATTAATTTAAGACTGTTCTAAAGTTTACAGCAATTGATTTTAGTTTTTCTAAAAATGAGTATTCAAGAAATATCAGGTGTAAAGTATCTCAAAATAGAGATTCATAAATACAGAAATAAAAGGAAGGGAAGGGAAGGTTTACTAGTAATGGGGAAATCATTAAAAAATGGAAAAGGATGAGTAAATGAATACAAGACCGAATAAAAGAATAAATGAATGAATTTATGAATGACGGAATAAATTATAAAATTATAAAAAATACAAGAATGAACAAATGAATGCAAAGTTTATCAGAAATGAGAGAGAGAATAAATGAATACAAGAATGGAAAAATAAATAAATTGAATGACGAATGATTATTCAAATACAAGAATAAAACATTTACCAGTAATGAGAGAATGAGCCAACGCTTCTTGCTGTAATCCTTCACCAAGTTCTCACGATTACTGGACATCTTCTGATTCCTACTTACACTTCTCTTGTTCAGGGTCCCTACTCCTAGATCATAATTAATATTAACTTACCTTCCGCGTGAATGGATCAAATGGATCAAATGGATCAAATGGATCAAATGGATCAAATGGATCAAATGAATCAAAAGGATCAAATGAATAAAATGAATCAAATGAATTAAATGTACCAAATGTACCAAATGGATCAAATGGATCAAATGGATCAAATGGATCAAATGGATCAATTGGATCAATTGGATCAAATGGATCAAATG